ATGCAAAAAAAAATAAAATAAAATAAATACTTTATTTTTTGTGAGTTCAAGGCCAGCCTGGTCTACATAGTGAGTTCCAGGACAGCTGGAACTACCCTGTCTCAAAAAGACCAAAAAGAAAAAAAAAAAATTTTTTTAAAAGCTTTTTATTTATTATTTTCATTTTATGTGTATACATGTATTGCCTGCGTGTAGGTAAGTGCACCCGTGCATGTAATGCCAGCAGAGGTCAGAAGTCTGTCGGATGCCCTGGGACTGGAGTTACGGACAGTTGTTAGCTGCCATGTGGGTGCTGGGATTTGAACCTGGGTCTTCTGCAAGAACAACCAGTGTTCTTAACTGCTGAGCCATCTCTCCAGCCCCTTATTTATTTATTTTTATTTTATGTGTATGAGTGTCTTGTCTGCATGTATATAAGTGCACCCATGTTGTGCAGAGCCCATAGAAGCCAGAAGAGGGCATCTGATCCCCTGGGGCTGGAGCTGGAGTTAAGGATGGTTGTTAGCCACCATGTGGGTGCTGAAGAACAACTAGTGCTCTTAACTTCTGAGCCATGTCTCCAGTCCTAGGACTTACTATGGCTTGCCAGAAATTTACAGCAATTCTCATACCTAACTATCATCTTAACAAAACTTTATTACTACAAACCAATCTGATATTCTGTTTAAAAAGATTTTAAAAAAGAAAAAAGAAAAGAAGCTTGTGGCACATAGCTGTAATCCCAGCATTTAGGAGACAGAAATACATGAGTTTCAGGATTACCTGGGCTGCAAGGCAAGCCTCTGTTTCACAAAAGATAAATAATAAATAAATAAATAAATAATAATAAATACAAAGAGAAGAGAGAACCTAATTCCATGTAAGCCGAGTGGAGTATGGGATCAGTGTTCATGGTTGGTTCATTTGCAGAGTTGCACCAGAAGGATAAAAAGAAATCACAGCTGGGTGTGCAGACACACACCTTTAATCCCAGCACTCAAGAGACAGGCAGATCTCTGTGAAACTGAAGCCAGTCTGGTCTACGTAGTGAGTTCTAAGCCAACTGGGGCAACAGAGAGACCCTGTCTGAAAAAAAAAATTTTAAAGGGCTGGAAATGGCTCACTGGTTAAATGCACTGGCTGCTTTTGCAGAGGCCTTGGGTTTGATTACCAGCACCTACGTGACAGATAATAACCATCCAAAAATCCAGTTTCTGGGATCCAATGCCCTCTTCTAGCCTCCATGCTCACTACATGCATGTAGTATGCTCACATACGTGAGGGAGGCAGAACACTCCTAACACATAAAAATAAATTTTAAAAAGGAGAAATCATCAAGTTAGAGCAAAAAAAAAAAAAATCAAGGTACACCTATATACAGTTTTAAAATCAAATTTAACACAAACTTGTGCTAAAAACATAAATATATTTAAAAAAAAAACCTATGGGAAAAGACATACCAAGATAATACTAATTTGGAAAAGGTGAAGTGGCCATATTACTATCAAAGTAGCCTCCAAAACAGAATTTCACCAGGGGTAAAGAAAGTCATTTCATAATGACAAAGGAGTCAATTCATCAAAAGAACATTGTAATTCTAAATGGTTATATATTTCTGAACTGAGCTTTAAAATGGAGGAAGCAAGAATGCTAATAGAATCACAAGAGAAACAGAAAAACTTACAATTACAGTCAGTATAGTCAGAGGCTCCAATATTCCTCTCAACTGACAGAACAAGTAAACAGAAAATCAGTGAAGAATCTAAAATACAGCAATTAAGCCCAGCACTCAGAGGCAGAGGCAGGAAGATCTCTGTGAGTTCAAGGTCAGTCTGGTCTACATAGTGAGTTTCAGGTCAGCTAGGGCTACAGGGAGACCCTGTCTCAAAAAAAAAAAACCAAAACAAAACAAAAACTTGAACTATTACTCACACTCACTTGTCCTGACATTTTAGAGGACTGCAGAATTCCACTCTTTCCTAATGTACACATAGTTTATTAAAAAGTATCATAATCTAAGACATAAAAATAAGACTCTAAATTCAACAGAATTTGAAACACATATGTGTTCTTTGACCACAAAGGAATAAATACACTTGTAAAAAAACGATACGATGTCAAGAGAAATGACAAGGGTTTGAATAAAAATTAGTACATATCGGAATCTGCTGTATGAGCCAAGCTATGTACCACATGTGGTGGCTGAGGCAGAAGGATCACAAGTCCAAGGAAGTCCTGAGCTTCATAGTGAGTTCCAGGCTAGCCTGGGCTCCATAATGAGACCTTGATACACTGCTAAAAAAAGGGGGCGGGGGGAAGCCCAGATACATCAGTGAATTTAACTACATAAAATACTTAAGGAAAGAGTAGCACTTTCTTTTTTTAAAAAAAAATTATAATTAAGACAGGGTCTCCCTGTAGGCCCAGCTGGTTTGAAACTCGCTATGTAGATCAGGCTGGCCTTGAACTCACAGAGATTCACCTGCCTGTGCCTCCCAAGTGCTGGGGTTAAAGGTGTGCGCTACAATGCCTGGCAAGGGTAGTACTTTCTACATAAACTCTTCTAGGTAATTTACAAATGAACATCTCCCAATTCATCCTATGAGGTCAGGATTACTCAGATTCTAAAACCAAACTGACATGACAAGAAAACTATAGACTAAAATCACTCATGGACAAAGTCAAGTAGACTTAGCAAAGCAAATCCAAACAGATATAAAAAGGATAATACACCATAAAATCCAGACTTATTCCAGAAATCCCAGGTTGGTTTAGTATTCAAAAATCAATCATTATAATTCACCATATTAACTAACCAAAAAATGGACAGCCACACGATTATCAATATACAGAAAAAACATTGACAAAATTCACCATTTCTGAAAAAAATTTTGGCAAACAAGAAGTAAATTTATTCAATCTGAAAGGAGTCTACTGGCTGGGTGTAACGGCTTACCCCTGTGATCCCAGCACCCCAGGAAGAGGTAAGGGGCAGAGAGTTCCAGGTGAGACTGGGCTAGAGTGAGACCCTGTTTCAACAAGCCAAAATACGAAAAATAAAACAAATCATGATTAAAGCCAAGAGCTGGCTCAGTGGGTAGAGTTTGACCCCTGGACCACACAAGATGACAAGAGAGAAGTGGTTCTGGAAAATTGTTCTCTGATTGCCTCATGCATATTGTGGTATACATGCATCTGTTCTCTCTCTGTCTCTGTCTCTGTCTCTCTCACACACAAAATCAAATACATGAAAATGTTCAAATTCACAATTAAAATTTTTTGAGGAAGAGAAAGGTTCAAGATAGTCTCACTCTGTAGCACAGGCTGGCCTCAAATTCACTATGAAGTCAAGTTGGCCTCAAACACTCCCACCTCAGCCTTCAGAGTGCTAGGATTACAAGCATGAGCCACCATACCCAGCTCTTTTCTTTTTTTGTCTTTTTGAGACAGGGTCTCCCTGTAGCCCCAGCTGGCCTTGATCTCACAGAGATACTCCTGCCTCTGCCTCCCAAGTGCTGAAATTAAAGGTGGGAACCACTATGCCCAGCTACAACAGTGTATTCTTAAAAAAAAAAAAAATTATGGGGCTGGAGAGATAGCTCAGTGGTTAAAAGCAATGGCATTCACATGGTGGCTAACAGCTGCTGATAACATCAGTTCTAGGGGAATTCAATGCCCTCTTCTGCCCTCCACGGGCATTGCACAACACGTTTGCACATGAGTGCTGGGATTTTAACCCAAGTCCTCTGCAAGAGTAGCCAGTGCTCTTAACCGCCACCTCTCCAATCCCCAACAGTCTATTCTTAATGTCTGTTTTGCTACTAGAAAATTTTTCCTTGATGAAATTCAGTAAGTTAAAAAAAAAAAATTTAACTCTTGGTCAATCCTATCTGTTGTAAATATTTTAACCTAGTTTAAATACTTTCTTATTTTTAGTATACAATTTATTTCAATGTAATCAAATATTCATTATGAATTACTCCAATCCATTTATGCAATCTTTTTCCTCTTTGTTTTTTATTTTATTTGGCCTGGTGGAGGGGCAGGCAGGCTTTCTCTTTTTATGGAGTCAGTGAATTCACTTTTTGTCTTGCTCTAGAACTTCAATTGTCTCTCTTGTCTAAAATAATAGATTCTTTAAAAATTTCACTATGTTGTTCTATATATTCCACAGAAAATAAAATTAGTACTTTTGCCTGAGAAAGAAACATTGGTACACCTGGGAGTGGAAGCAAGAAGATCAGGTGGCAAGGTCATCTCCAGCTACAAAGTTTGCGCACAGCTTTGGCTACATGAGACTGTCTCAAAATGATGATGATAACGATACTAAAATGATAAATACGAGCCAAGTGTGGTGGTGTACATCTGTAATCCCAGCACTCAGAAGGCTGAGCCCAGAAAAACTGAGATCAAGGCCATCATGGGCTAAAACAACAACAAAAACAGCAACAAAACTCCATAAATATGCTTAAGACAAATCTTAAGAAAACACATTTCTTGGGGCAGAGGAGATGGCTCAGTCAGTAAAGTCCCTCCCTGCAAGCCCAAGAACCAAGGTTTGGATCTCTGGGGCTCCCAGATTTAGTGAGCTCAAGGCTCAGTGAGAGAACCTTTCTCAAAAAATAAGGTGGAGAGCAATAGGGGAAGACGCACAACTTTGGTCTCTAGCCTCCAAATGCACACACACGCACACTCAAACAGGTACATGTGCATGCATCACAGGCCACACAAAAGAAAGCCCATCTCTCCCTGGTATTCTACGTATGGTAGAAATCGTAGGTACTTATTTCAGCCAACTCTTACAAAGAGTGACCATTACATTCTTTCCTACCGTTCTCCCTCTTTATTCATAGATCATTTCCTCAGTATTAAAAGCAGCTGACAGAATAACCTGGTTGCTAGACCCCCCACCCATCACTGTTTCAATATGACTACCACCTCAAAGTGAATTCAAAAGGTAGAGTTATGGATTTATAAAGCAGCTTCCAATTGAAGTCTATAACACGTCAAGAGGATTTTACCTTCGTTATAGGGCACTGGATTGCCAATCTTTACTCCAACCGATTCAGCTGATTTCAAAACTTCCAAGTCCATCAAAATAACTACTCTCCTACAAAGGCAAATAAAAACAAATTAGAATAAATAATTCTGAAGCCTTTCAGATGACAAGCTATTTAGTCGGTCTTTGATGACTCTTTTCATAAAACTATCTCCTCTATCAGTTATTTTTGCATTCCTGAATAACTTGAGAAATATACTAATTCCTATGTAATTATTCCCTTAATCTTTCACCATATCATTACCAAATTTTTATGATTATAGGGTATTCATTTCCTATCTAGTCCCTTAATTAAAATGGCACACCTTGCTACATACTATTATCTCCATGAAGTCATTGATACAAGAATTCAGATTACTGAACACAAGATTATGTGGCATAAACAAATGATCTGTTTTCAGAAGCATATACTTACCTAAACAGTTATTTTTTCCCAGTAAAAAGCAATTACGACAGTTTTTTTTTTTTTTTTTTTTTTTTGTCTTTTTGAGACAGGGTCTCCCTGTAGCCCCAGCTGTCCTGGAACTCACTATGTAGACCAGGCTGGCCTTGAATTAACAGAAATCTGCCTGCCTCTGCCTCCTGAGTGCTGGGACTATAGGCATGCATCACCACGCCTGGCCCATGACAGATTTTTTTTTTTTTTTAAGATTTTATTTATTATTTTTATTTTATGTGTATGAGTGTTACGCCTGCATGTAGGTAAAGGCACTGTATCGTGCAATGCCTGTGGAACACAGAACAGGCTGTCAGATACCCTGGAACTGGAGTTACGGACAGTTGTTAGCTGCCGTGTGGGTGCTGGGATTTGAAACGGTCTTCTGCAAGAACAGCCAGTGTTCTTAACCACTAAGCCATCTCTCCAGCCCCCAACAGTAGATATTCCTTAAAAATTTAATTACTGGGGGTTAGAGAAATAGCTTAGTCAGGGAAGTGACTGTGCAAGCATGAGGACCTGAGCATGATCCCTAGTGTCCACATCCAAAGTTCGTTGTGGCAGCACATGCTTGTATTGTAATCCCAGTACTGGGGAGACAGGAGGATCCCTGGGCTTTGCTGACAGTCAGCCTTGCCAAAACAGCACATGCCAGCACAACGAAAGAGTTTGTCTCAAAAGTTGATGGTACCTGAGGAGCAACACCAGAGGCTGACCTCTGCTTATGCGTGTACAGGTGCACGCACGCGCACACACACACACACAAATCAAAATATTTTCAGCTATTGTTATGTATCTTTAAAAACTTACAGACCTTTGACCCATTTTTAACAGATCAAAAGCTTTCATTAACTTCCTAAGCACAAACCTTAGACATGGCTTACAAGGCATTGTATGATCTGGCTCTGCTGTGCTACCTCAACTCGGCACCCTCAAGCTCGCTGCCCTCTAGCCCAGCTTATTTTGGTTCCTGGCACATGCCATGCTTCCTCCTGTTGCAAAGATTACATGTGCTCCTCTTTCTGTTCATCAAATATGCACTTTTAGCTCTTATCTCAAAATTGGAATAGAACCAGGGACTTATTCATGCTAGGCAAGTGCTCTATCACTGAGCTACAGCAAACAGCACTTTAAGATACACCGCCTTAGTCTCTTATTTGGATCAAATTTGATTTGTCCTACTCTATTACTAACATGATTTTGTTCCTTCAGAATACTTAGTTTTGGGGGCTGGAGAGATGGCTCAGTGGTTAAGAACACTGACTGTTCTTACAGAAGACCCGGGTTCGAAGCCCAGCACCCACATGGCGGCTAACAACTGTCCGTAACTCCAGTTGCAGGGGATCTGATAGCCTCTCTGTCCTCTGTGGGCATTGCACGACACGGGTGCACTTACCTACATGCAGGCCTAACACTCACACATAAAATAAAATGTTAAAAAAAAAAAAAAAGAAGAACACTTAGTTCTCTGGCCCGTGCTCAGCTACTTGTATAACCTAGGACCAGCTGCCCAGGAGTAACAGTGCCTCACAGATATGCCCACAGGCCAACCCAATAGAGGAAATCTCCAAGTTGAGGGTTCCTCTTCCCAGGTGTGCCAAGTTGACAACTGAAGCTGTCCAGCACAACATACATCTTAAATATTACCAAAATGAATGCAATGGTAAATTAAGAGAACACAATGACCGGAACATGTTAAAATTCTTTAATCATCAGCAAAACAGAGGCTACTGACAAACTGTGAGGATTAGAGACAAACGATTTGGTATCTTAGAAAAACTGAGGGGGAAAAAGATAGAGGCGGAACACAGGGATGTTAAAAGACTGAAAGGTCATCAGTCCACTGTTTTGTGAACTTTGGGTCCTGATTTCAGATAGGAATATATATACAAATACAGACATAGACACCTATATAAATATTTCTACATCCATCTACATATGAGTAGTTGGAAACTGAACACTGAGTGGATATTTACTTTAGATGTAAATGGTACTTATTTTGTGTGTATGGTGTGTAGCGTGAGTACATGTTCATGTTGGTGTGTATGTAAATGTGTATGTATAGAAAACAGAGGTCAATATTGGGGGTCTTCTATTACTGTATCTATGTGCCATGGTGCATGAGTGGAGGTGCCCTCAGATACCACAAGAGGGTGCTTTCCCCTTAAGATAAAAGTTACAGGCAGTTGTGAGCCATCTGGTGTGGATGCTGGGAATCGAACTCAGGTCCTCTGCAAGAGCAATGCCTGCTCTTAACCACTGAGCTAGTCCTGCAGCCCTTAAAGAGAGTTATCATTTAAAAAACAAACAAACAAAACAAACAAACAAAAAAACCCCTAAATATTTCTGGAGATGGGCATGGTGGCTCAAGTCTATTAAAGCACTCGGGATGCAGAGACAGGCGGATCTCTGTGAGCTCAAAGCAATCTGGTTTATACAGTGAGTACCAGGCCAGCTGGGGCTATAGAGAAACCCTGTTTCAAAAAGATTGAAAAAAAATTTCTGGATGAAATAATGTATCTGATACTTCAAAATAACAGTAGATGGGAGAAGGATACAGACAGACCAAGACAGGACATCAGGTGATACTCCGAGTCCAAAAACTGGGCTGTAAGGGCACTCATAATTTCACTGCATGTTCTGTCTACTTTTATAAATGTTCAAAATCATTCAAAATATAAAACAGACTTGAAAAAAGAGAAAGGAAGCTAAGAGGATTACTTTTAAGGCAGGATTTATTATGTAAGAATGAAAGAATAGTTCAATATTAATCTGTTAAAATAATTTATAATATTAAAGGATTAAAAATAATATGATTATATCAAGCTGCAGTAAAAGCTTTTTAAAAAATTCAAAGAGCCATTCCTATAAAACCCTGAGCAATATAAAGACTTAAGAAAAAAAGTCCTGAACATGATAAAGTACATGTACTTCACAAGATAAACTCATGTTGAGCAGTCAAACTAAAGGCACTGCATTACTATCCAGGTATAAAGAAGGTACCTGCTGACACCAATGTGCTAGATGATTTAGGACCATTAAAAACCAAGGTATGAGGGCAAGCTGAGCCACAGAGATCAGAAGAAGATGTTGGATCCCCTGGAACTGAAGTTACAGACAGTTGTTAGCCACCATGTGGGTGCTGGGGATTGAACCCAGGTCCTCTGTAACCAGATACTCACAACCCGAGTTTGATCTCTGGAAGCCACAGGGAAAGGAGAGAACTGACTGGAGAAAGCTCTTCTGTGACTTCCATACAGAAACTGTGGCACACATGCCCTCCTCCCAATAGTAATAAAAAAATTATGGCACATGTGCCCACATACAACACCCCAAAATAAAAAATGTAAAAAAAAAATTTTAAATGAAAACATTTTGTAAAAAAAAATTCAGAGAAACAAATGACAAAAATATTACAATAAAGAGATAATACAACTGTCTAGAAAATACAATCCATATGGAAGAAAAAAACACAGAAACTGCTCAAAGCACTAAAATCATCTCCAGATGATTGTTCTGTGGCTCAAAATTTAAAAAAAATACATATTTTATTCATTATTTTTATGTGTATGTGCGTATTGCGTGCATGTAAGTGCACCCGTGTCGTGCAATGCCAGCGTACGACAGAAGAGGCTGTCGGATCCCCCTGGAAGTGGAGTTACAGACAGTTGTTAGCTGCCATGTGGGTGCTGGCATTCGAACCTGGGTCTTCTGCAAGAACAACCAGTGTTCTTAACCACTGAGCCATCTCTCCAGCCCTAGCGTGGCTCATAATTTTAAGGGTTGTGAAGGTGTTCAGAACCTCCACTCAGTCCTTGCTGCCAAGACAGTAAACTGGAATAGCTATTTGAGAAAACAGTCTGATAATTCCTTAAGAAGTTAAATCACAACTGGGTGTAGTGGCATATGCCTTTAATTCCAGCACTCAGGAGGCAGAAGCAGGCAGGTCTGTAAGATCAGGCCACCTGGGACTGCAGGGAGACCCTGCCTCAAAACAAACATAGTTAAATCACGTTAGAGTCAGCATCTGATCTAGCAACTCCTTTCCTGGATATATCCATCCCCTGGAATCCATGGAGGAATGGTTCCAGGACACCCTGGAATAAGAGAAGCTATAGATATTCATATAGTATTTACATTTAACTGATGCACATCCTTTTGTATTAAATCATCTCTAGATTACTTACTACACAATATAATGTAAGTGCTTTGCAAATACTTGTTATATAATATAAGGACAAGAAAATGTCTGTACATGTTCAATATAGATACACAATTTTCCCTGAATATTTCAGATTAGTCATTTGATGAAAACATGGATTAAGAACATACAGAAAGGGCCAACTGTTTTAGAAATGGAAATGTGTGTCCATATAAAAACTTGTACACAAATCTTCAGTGCATTATTCAAAATAGCAAAAAGATGGAAACAACCCACAAACTGAAGAACAGATAAGCAAAATGTGCTGGGCCTGAGGGCTTAGGCCTGTAATCCCAGGTACTTGGGAGGTTGAGGCAGGAGGATGTCAAATTCAAGGCCAGCCTCAGCAACTTAATGCAACCCTGTCTCAAAATAAAAGGTAGAAAAGACGGCTAGGGCTGTAGTTCAGCGGTA